TTTCACGATTCAGCTCGTGCAACGACCAATTGGACGCAATAAAGAGGCCAACAATACACACGAGATATCACGAGGCAGCAAGCGTTTTTTTTCGGGCGTTTCATTACTTTTTTACTGTTCAATCTAGAAATCATCTGGCAAGTCGTAATGCGGCGCGTTGACCAGATTTGATCCCTGAGGAGGATTTTATTTCGGGTCGCGACGGGAACGACTCGTGAAACAAACGTTATGCGAAATATCGGCCGCGTGAAATCAAGATCGAACCTGGAAATCAGTGTTTATCATTTTCATTTCTCGCCAGTTCCACGCGAGGAATTCTCGCGGAACTCATAAATGCGAGTGAAATCGTGGCGCAATTGTGCAATTGTAACCACACTTGATCACTTGCGGCGATCGTGCGCGCATACGTCGTTATCGTGTTCCTCCTTCAGCAGCGCGCGATGATTCGTCTTCACGCGGAAACGAGAGCGTTTCGTGCGACTCATTGTAACGTTTCGTCTTCTTCGCTACACGAAATCAGCATTCGCGTGGCTCACTCGCGAGCACTTTACGTAAGAAGCGTAATATTAATGTGCGTTATACGTCAGCTTCCGCATGTCTGGGCCGCGCGAGAGCCGATGAATATCGCACCCAACGAATCCTAATTTATTGCCGAGGTTGCATCTTGATAATTGCGCGTCTCTTCCGGAAATGATCGCATATGATGATCGCAATGATCACAGAAAATAAGAAGGAGATATCCATCGCGCGTGTTCTCTGCACAAACGCTTAATGACTTCGTGAAAAGCTAAAGTTTTAAGAAAACGTGTATCTTCTTATTTGAAAAATATTTTATATAAGTACGCATATGTTATTAACACTCATCAAATAAGTATCTTTTATTTCTTAGATTTTTTTCTCACAGTGTAGAATATGGGATTGTAGGAAACAGCAACTAGAACTCTTTTTTCAGAGTGTTAGAATACTTTCCTTTTGACTTCAAAAGAATCTTCTCGAGACCATAACATAAGAGGATTTCGCCAAGGATGAGATTATGGGCGGTATTCATAGTGGGATCTTATACTTGAGATCGTCTTAAGTTCATCTTCGGTTACTATACGAACCGTTCTATTAGCTATTACGTAGCATCTGAAGAGGTGAAATTAAGATGATCCTAAATATAAGATCCGATTATGAACGCCGGCCTATATTTTTTTGCGGATTTTTAAAGGCATGTGTCCTTTGTAGAGGCGAATAGCGTCGATCGATCGCACTCATTCCGACACCACCATCATCATCGGGATTGCCGACAGTCGTAATCCCGACGTTGCAACCCGCAACTATCTCTCTCTTTCCCTCTCATGATTCTCGTGACCCTCGACAAACGCCAATTTTTCAATTTTGTCTCTTTTGGAGCACGAAGCCAGCCACGGTGGACGCCTATTTATAGTCGGCGGAGCGAGAGTAAGTGGCACTCGCTCTTGTTGCTTCAATTGTTATCCCTTCCCCCCGCTTGCCCTTCCCCTCCGACCTCGATGACCCGAACATCCGGGTAAATAGGGCAGAGGGCGAGTCAAGAATCGCCCGGTCGCGCCGGGTTATCTCGCCGACATCTTTGGAATAAGGTCATGTTGATTGCGACACGTTCTCCGCGTGTACCATCCGGTAAACTTCGCGATCGCGATCGCGTACGTGCGCGGCGTTAATACACGGCGACGATCAACCCTGAGGGAAGATTCACATCTCGGCGGAAAGGCAGAAAGGCAGGAGCCAATCAAAACTCGCGCTGATAAAAAAGCAGCAAAAACTGTCAACCGCCATCTGACCACCAGCGCGAGTTCTGATTGCCTTCTATCTTTCTATTATCTGCCCTTTTTCCCAAGATGTGAATCCTCCCTCAGACTCGGGGCACTACACCGTCGTTTCGCCACAGTCGGATGTCGCGCGATAAGATTCTCATTTGCCCCGTGATCCGCGCGAAACTTAATTACGTCGTCCGCTTTATTCGTTAGCTGAGGCACTATCGCGAGCGATTCGATTATTTCTGCCGTTCTCTCGTTCGGTTTAGCGCGGTTCAAAGTTCGCTTCTCTTTATCACAGTTTCATTAACACATCCCCCGCCGAGCACAACGCTTTTCCAACCGTTGATACGCAGCAACGTCGGAGTTTATTTCTGCGTCCAGCGCGAGAGCGAGACAAACACGCGCGTGTTCTCGTAGATTTTAGTCGAGCAAAGTGCGAGCGTTATTATCAACAAAAGCTCCGCCGACCGTCGTCGCTCTGGACATAAAATGCAATTGAGATGCATCGGCGAGCGAAACGCTGTCTGGAGTCGCCATCGTGTGCGCTCCGAGATCGATAGTTTTGTCAGCCCTTAACGAGACTTTATTCCAAATCCCAAGTAAGATGACTTCATCCTGGAACCTATTCGCGTTTCATTAATAACTCGTAGATCTTTCAAGCCCCGGCTGATCATTATGCGACTTTCGCTGTACAAGCGTAATATACACGTCGCGCGAGATTGTGTCGTGATAAATAATCGAGTGAAGGAAGCCTCGCAATTAAATTGCTTCTATCCGAGCCGACTATTTTAGCCCCACTTTCAACCTGAACTTTCTAACATCTGTGTATTCTGAAGAATCAGCCTATCTCCAATACACACGGGAACTGAAGTCCGACTTAGCGCCTGTAAGGCTCGATCTACAATGTATTCTTTGTTTGCTGTTCCTTTCTCTTTGTCTCTTTCTGATCCAAAGTCTTTCTGACTTAAGACTTAAGCCAGAAAAAGACAGAACAAGAAGCAAAGAGCACATTGCAGATTAAGCTTAAATGGCAGAAAACACATAAAATGTCACAAATAATAATAATAAATTAAGCCTCTTGACAAAACTAGCAGTAGGTGAAATAGGATTAAAAAGGGGGTTGACACAGGCTTCAGCGTATCAAAGCAAGCGTTAAATGGAATATTGAGGTCGACAGTAGGATCAAAATTTCGACTCGAGTACAGCCATAGCTGTTTCCCTTCGCCTCTCTTTCTCCCCTCTCTTTTTCAACACAAGTTTCGTTTAGAAATATTAAACGCAGGTGGACCTGTCCACGCCCGTCGACTGATTTACGACCGACGCGGCTACACATATTTCGCGGTTATGTAGAACATGAAGAGACTGCAGGCTCGTCGTCGTCCGACGATTGCTTCTTATCGCGTCGGAGCTGTCGGCAAAAAATTGTATGACGAAACAGACGGGAAGGTCAGTGATCTTTCGGCGCATCACACAAGACGCGTGCACTCTTCAGCGCGAATTCGCTTGGGAATGAATATCGCAGTAGAACGTCGTGGCTGTGTCCAAGCATTTATCGCGCCGATGGGCGTTAACGCGCAGGGATCGCCTAAGAGAGGGAGGTAATTTCTTTCCGATGTCTGCGCCTGTTCGTGGAAAATATCCCGAGCACTCGTCGCGTGGAACGTTACCTGCCTGCGCTATTCGTCAGGTCGGCGATCCGCAAAGGGCACTCGCGTTAATTATCTTGCCCCTGTTGAGATGTACGCTCGGCCTCCGCGTCAAACTAATAGCTACACGTACCAATACACGCACACACACCCTCTAACACGCCCTAACACTCACACTTTAACACGCCCTACACTCACACAAACTAACACGCACACATATATATTCACGGTATACACCGCACAGAAGATTGATTCAATTACTCCGTCGTGTAAACGCTGCAGTCCATCGAAAATGAACGTCCAGACGATTCCACGCTCTTGATCGTCCGTCATAGTTGAAAAGGTCGACTGCGCCTGTGAGGGAGGGAGCTGTTTTCTTCGGCGGAGTAACGAAGTCTGAGAATAAGTCGCCTGATTTTTTCAAGCATACAGTTGATGCTTGAGTGGAAAGTGATATATGACGCGTTCGGCAAGAGGATCCGTTATTTGTGAGATCTATTCTCGTTGCAAAATTGCGCATCTAAAGTGAAACTCATGTATCACGGATCGAGTGCACTCTTTGTGCATTCGAGTACGAATGATTTATGATATTCGTGATAATAAGCTTCTTGGATAGTATACTACGAAAATATGTAAGGAACATGATAAATTCGAGTGAAAGTATCTTCACGTTTTTCAGTATTTTTATCGACATCACATTAAAAAAAAAATTACATTAATTTTTACTAAAATTTATATTGTCACACACATTAGCGTATCATAATAATGTTAATGATCAAATAATGGCCCAGTATTACTTCTGCCTGAGAGCGATATATCGATAACCGAGCAGGTGGCTCAGTGGTCTAGGGGTATGATTCTCGCTTTGGGTGCGAGAGGTCCCGGGTTCAAATCCCGGCTGAGCCCGAGTTTTTTTTTAGTTGATTTTTTTAGTTGATTTTTTTTTTTTTTTTGTAAATTTCTGTAAGTAAAAACTCTGAATGTCGTTTTTACGAATGTAAAGATGTGAATATGCGTTTCCATGCAGATAATGAAATCTTTATTCTGGATGATCGCACAATAGTCAACATTCTTTCGAGCGGCTCAGTGGTCTAGGAGTATGATTCTCGCTTTGGGTGCGAGAGGTCCCGGGTTCAAATCCCGGCTGAGCCCGTGTTCTTCTTTTGCAAAACTCGTTTAGAATGTCGCGAGAGATTTCATTAATTTTTCTGTCGTTATTTATGAGAGAATCGCGTATTAAGTAATTCTTTTCTTTTCTTTT